CCGAGTGCTGGGATTAAAGGTGTGCACCACCAGCTCACCCTCAGACCCATTTTGTGCAGTGCTGGGGATGGAACCCAGGGTTCTGGGAGGTGCTCAGGCAAGCTCTCTACTGAGCTACATCTCCAGCCTCAAGAGTTATGAAGATAAAAATGGAAAGTGGAAACCCTGTTTAGATGATTCACATCAAGGTTTAAAGTTAGGAGCTAGGTCAGATGCACTCATGGGCTGCATTCCAAAGGGTGTGTGTGTGTGTGTGTGGTGTGTTTTCAAGATAGGGTTTCTTTTCTGGCTGTCCTGCAACTCCCTCTAAAGACTACTCTGGCCTTGAATTAATAAGAGATCTGCCTACCTCACAAGTGCTGGGAGTAAACGCGTGTGCCACCACTGCCTCTCTTCCTAATCTCAAGCAAGGTGAATGTTGAGGTGAATGTTAAATGTCTGGGAAGGGCACTGTTGCTTGGTCTATGGAGACCACTCTTCATATCCAATCCTATGCTTGGCTTCAAGCGGAAGGAGCTACCGATGCAGAGGTCTCTCTCCTTCAGCCCTGCTACCCTGTCTCCAGGAAGGATCAGGAAGCCATATGAATGTTGAATAGGCAACCTTCTGTAGTCTAGCCTGCCCTGTGTGCTCTTATATTGTATTTCACCTTAAGCCTGCATGGTGGAGGGTTCTGCAGCCCCCGTAGGCTGTAGAAAAGGAGGAAATTTCACTTTCCCTGCAGTTGTAACTGCTCTGGTGTCTTAGCACCTTCTTCTGCCCCTCACCAGACCCTTTGTGTGCTGTCGCAGGTCTTCCTGTGGAGCATGCGGTCCTACACACTAATCCGGAAGCTAGAAGGCCACCAGAGCAGTGTTGTCTCCTGTGATTTCTCTCCTGATTCTGCCTTGCTCGTCACGGCTTCTTACGACACCAGCGTGATTATGTGGGACCCCTACACCGGCGAGAGGCTGAGGTCACTTCAGTAAGGACATTGCAGGGTTATACACACACCCCTTGGAATCTGGGACAGGGAGGAACAGTTTGGATGGAGGAGCGAAGCTGGCTCAGTGTTTTGTGGTGTGGAGGTCTCAAGTCTATTGGTTCAGAATAGGAGACCACAACGACTATTTCCACCTGTTAACTGTAGTACCAGGTTCACAGTGACTCTCATCAGATCTGTCACCTCCAGTGTAAAGTTCCCTGTCCTCACAAGCTTGCTCTACTTTTTCCTTACTTTCTGTTGTTTCTAAAGCAAATGATAGTAGTCCTATAATTATCACAAATCAGCCTAAAAAAGACTTTGCGTTTTCACTGTGGCATTAAAGTGGAGGCTGACCTACTTTGCACAAGGAAATTAGCACAAGTGTTGGTAACCCTTCTGACACCTTAAGACACTTGGAGCTGGCCTTGTTTTCCAGTCGGCAGGTGCTGCAGTTTTACATAAGGAGCACAGGCCAGAGCATTTGGTGTACTGCCTGCAGGTGAGGATTCTTGGGGAGGTAACCACCATTCTAGACCTGTGCTATTTTTTTGTAGTCACACCCAGCTGGAACCTCCCATGGATGACAGTGACGTCCACATGAGCTCCCTGCGATCTGTGTGCTTCTCTCCTGAAGGCTTGTACCTGGCTACAGTGGCAGATGACAGGTGAGGAGGGATGCAGCTGTAGAGCTGGTATTTACAAGTAATGGCAGGCATTCCTCACTGGTCTCCAACTCAGTGCACATGTGACCTTCTCTCTCTCATACAGGCTCCTCAGGATCTGGGCTCTGGAACTGAAGGCTCCAGTTGCCTTTGCTCCTATGACCAATGGTCTTTGCTGCACATTCTTCCCACATGGTGGAGTTATTGCCACAGGGTATGTATCCGTGTTGAACAGATAGGCAGCAGTGCCTCTTGCCTATACCTTGTCTACAGTAGTCTTGCCTAAGAAGATCTAAGGCTACATAAAATTAAAATATTCTATCCTGCCATTGTGTCATTTATAGATGTTGGTAACTAACCTAAATGCAGCAATAGATGTGGCTCATACTCCCCTGAACAACCAATTCCACAAAGAGGCCTAAGATAAGGTGATGTGGAATTTATATGGACAATCATGGCCAAGACCACCTCACAGGTGTGGTCTGTAATTGGTATCGGCACTGTCTGTTATTGTGGGAGCCCAGGGCCATCTTCTGCTAGGCAAGCACTCCGCTGTATCCCCCAGCACTTTTCCCTTTGAGTTAGTGTGTAGGAGGGCTGTGCTGACAGATGGCTCTTGTCATCAAAGGCATTTTCCTATTTTTGGACAGTCTCACTCTATTGCCCAGGCTAGCCTTGAATACCTGATTCAGGCTCTCATCCTGCTTTAGTCTTATATAGCAGTTGGGACCATAGGCATGGGTCACATCCCCATAATCCTATGGAGTAGTCATTATTGAGCAATTTATAACCCTTCCCAGTCAAGAGTGCACTTCAGCTTCTGGAGTCTCCTATTTCTGGTCAAACTGGGACAACCACTACTGGGAAAACTCCCTAGGGCCTGCTAAGGATTGGTTTTTCTGTTGTTTCAGGACGAGAGATGGTCACGTTCAGTTCTGGACAGCCCCCCGTGTCCTGTCCTCACTGAAGCATTTATGCAGAAAAGCCCTTCGAAGTTTCCTGACCACGTACCAAGTCCTAGCACTGCCAATCCCCAAGAAGATGAAAGAGTTCCTCACGTACAGGACTTTCTAGCAGCCCGGCATCCCGACTCCTATAGCAGAAGCAATGCAAGGGACTGGCTAGGGTGGAGCCACCAGATCACACTGGACCTGCTGTGGACCTTTACCCCACTGGCACATGCAAGTAGGTCTGAGTGATGCCACTTGTGCAGTGCCAGCCTTACCTCGTCGTTGTCCATTGTGAGCAGCCTTTGTTGGTCTAGTTGTCTTGAAGCCAGGTGCAGTTGTGGATGTTGTCTGGGTAATAAAAGCAAGCAGGCTCCAGAGCCTGTGTGGTGGTGGCCAACTCCACACTCCCTTCACTGGGAAGTGCCTGCCATGCAGCGTAGTACCTGCTGCCCGTTTCCAGTCAGTGACTGCATGGTTTGAAGTTCCTCTGCTCTGGTCAGAGGAACATTCATATTTGGCACATGCTTCTGGCCAGGACAGTCCTATGGAACTAAGTTATGTTACTAAGCTGCAGGTGGACTGGGCTGTGCTCCTCACCAATACACCAATACTGGCTTTTATTTTTCTTTAAACAGTGGTGTGCATGTGTAGGAAATGACAAACAAGTACATCAGATCATATGAGGAGGTGTCCTCAACTGCATGACGGTCAGATGTCCATTTATCAGCATCATATTTATTTGTATTTTCTCAGCAGATATTAAGGTACAACTGTGTTTTCTCAGTGGTCTTTAAAAACCAAGAGTTCTTAAGTGGCCCAGTTGTGAAGCCATGTCTTAGTTGTGTGAAGTCAGTATTGTCACTGGCTCATGCTGTCATGTGCGTGTGTTTGTCTCTACTGCTTGACCTCATGGGATTCACCCTCCAATTCCAACTGCCCTAAACAGACAGCCCCTTCCGAGCACCGCTCTTCACCGGCAGCAACAGCTACCTATTCAAGATGCCTCACTCACACAAAATCTGCCTTAGGAAAGTTAATATATTTTAAATTATTTTAAAAGAAACAACACCTTACTCTTTGGCTTTTCTTAATTGATGCTTTAAGGGGCAGTGTTAACAGTGTACAGTGTGTGCAAAGAGTCTCCTCTATCATTTGAAGAAAACATTGCAAAACGAGGCTTTCATTGAAGGGAGAAAAGAGAACAAGAAAACTTGTCTCCGTTCCTTTTTTTCCAAACACCACAAAGGAGAACGGGACACTAGTAGGCAGTTCAGCCATGTGGCTGAGATGTTGCCTCCACCCCTGACCACTTGGCCACAGCTTTGAGCTCCACTGGGAAACTTGGGGAGCAAGTTGTTTATGGGCAAGAAAACAGATTTCTCACTTAGACGCATACGCTCAACTTCAAGGTCCATTGTGCTGAAAGTGTCTTCACCTCAGATGCATCTTACACAGCTAATCTAAGAAACAGCAGGTTGGTCATGGCGCACCAGGTGCCCTCCAGTATCTATAGCTGTGCACAGCCCCTTGTCTAGCTCAGGGAATGCACATGTTTCTCTATCATTGTACAGAGACCTATAGGCAACAGTTTGACAGCTTTCTAAGGAACAGCCTCCAAGGAGAGCTTATTCTGTGACACTAGTGACAAAGGCCTTGATAGGAATGTAGGTGGGCAGGCCAGCAGGCATGAGCAAGCACCTTATTGTGCTTACTGTGGAGGACTGATGTAAGCACAGCCCAGCTGCACAGGAAGGAGTACCTACAGCATCCCATCCCTCCCCAACAAGTGAGGCCTGCACAGCTACTAGCCCACAAAGGCACAGTCTGAAGGCTAACTGTATTTGACAGTTTCTTTGCTATTGTCACAGTAGAATTTGGAACCTGCTGGGAAGCCTTCAAAGAGAGAGAAAGACGGGTGTTTTGTTTCTGGTTGGATTTATCTCACTAGGCTGGCATGCAAGTGGCTGGTAATTCTGCCTCAGCCTCCTGAATTCTGAGATTATAGGTGTGCTACCACATTAGAACAGTTTTGATCAGAAACTCACTAGCACCCATTTAAAGCAGATACAAAAGTGAGAAAGTTTAACATCGGAGATGCAGACCTTGAGCTGAACAACACCTGAATCGTGTTCAACTTGAACATTACAATGCAGACATAACTGAGGTAAGGCCAATATTGTCACCCCAGCAACTGACAGTAATTGCTTTACAGCCTCCCCCCC